ATAAAAAAGCAAAAAAGGACAACATTTTTACAACACCTTCCAATTTCAAAGATCGTAGCGCACATACTATACACTGATATACTTTTTATTATGTAGAGGGAACGTAACATGCTGATCACAGACAGGACATACAATTTCCCAAAAAGGCAACTTCATCGTAATTTTTCAGAGCTTCGATGTTAACCTAACACAACCTCAACTGAAATTTGAGAGTTAGGTACAATAATAGTAGGAAACAACGGTTAGATTGTTTCGTCACATAGAAAACGCTAGTGCACAAGTATTGTTCCAAATGGTTCTTCTGCACGTCAAGATCCACGTAATAACGATGTAAGCGCAGTTTAAAAGTACTCTCATTGTAAAGTGTAGCCATACTTTGCAATCTGTCGTCGTCTTTCTATCTCAGCACAAAGGAGCAAAAAGAACGCACAAATTGTTGCGCAAAGGAAGCAAATGGATTCTTTTACCTTGACTTTGAATTTCATAGACCGTTCCCTACGTTCAAATAGTTCAAGTTCACGTTTCAGTTCCTTTTACCTTTAAGTTCTAGCGGTTCTAGGCTTGCTCTGCAATGATGTTTTACCGCGGTATTCTGTGCTTAGATTTAATGCACAATGCGCATTTATTCTTTTAATCATCTTTGTTCTGTCAGATGCACGTGCGCCAACTAGAAGGGTATCCTCCATGGAAAGTCAGACTTACTAGGAAGACATTTAGAAATTGACTTTTCATGAAGGATATTAAGCCTTAAAGTAATGAGCACGTGACGAATGGAGGGGGGAGAAGGGGGAAGACATTGGGCTAGTTGCATTGCAAAAGCGATTGATCAATAGAAAAAAATGCTTTTTGCTCGGGAATTTTTAATACTGAAGGACTACCATAAAATAATATTGATGAGATACGATCCTCGATCCTCCATACCTATTATTTTTCTTAGGCTTCAGTAAATTGTACAGAACATACCTATAGAGTGTATGTTCTGTGGTAATAACTATGATAAATATGATGACGTAGCTTTTTTCAATACTTTCATACTCAATCAATAAGACCCATCAATAAGACTGTCCGTTCTCCCTATAAATTTCAATCACTATAAATCATCAGGACATAGATCTGGTGATCCCGTTGAGAGTGTCAAAGACAATCGTAAAGCGGTTACAACGACATCATTATGGCGACCCGCTTCTACACCGGTTCCCAGTACATAGAGAGCATGTGAACTGACTGACACGAATGCAGCTTTCTTGTGATTGATGTGATGCTACGAGCTACGTGGTGTTTCTCTCAATTCTAAATTGATAATGCGCTTAATAATAATCTATCCGATCAAGTAAAACACATTTTTCATCATTCTTCTTCCCACGGTTATCGTAGGAACCGGCTAAGGGAGCATCATTTAGCAGGGGCTGAGCAACAATGTTCTCTGATAAACCTGATTATCTGATTAAGTGTGGGAGGGCGATGCTTCGGCACGAATAGGCCGGCTTGACCGGAGTGATACCACAGCCTCACATTAAACCGACGTGAAATAACACCCGAGTTGTGTTTCGTTCGGTGAGGTCCAATTATCCCTTCCTCAACCTCATTAATCCCCGAATCCCCAACAATCCTCAAATTCCCTATCCCAAAAGGCCGGTAACGCACTTGTAAAATCTCTGATGTTTCGGGTATCTATAGGCGGTGCCGATTGCTTACCATCAGGTGATCCGTCTGCTCATTTACCAGCTTATAAAAAAACCTTGGTATTTTAAATTGTAAACCCAATTATGACAAACCTATCTTTGAAACCCTTGATGAGACTGCTACTATGACCACTTCGTAGGTAAACGCTTTTCAGAATTGATTGTGTAAATCAATACATAATTTACCATATCGCGTGACCAGCACTGTGGTTAGTCTTTCTGTCGCGTCTTCGATCCTTCATAATTTTATTAAACCCAAATTTTAATTCCGATTGTGAGAATGATTTTAACACCAATACCAAAATTATTTTTTTTTAATTTTTAAATTATTTTTTAATTTATTATAAATTACTGTAAATAATTTAAACTACAGAGCGACAGCTAAACAAAATTAAGGGATAACAATAACAAATTTTAAAATATACTAGGTATATTTTTATAATAAAAAAAAATAAACATTCATATTTTTAGCCCTAAATAATCACAAAACACTATTAAAACCATAAACGCATTTTCAAAAATCAAAATATCACAGGATCTTCCTATTTATTAATTTTATTGCAAAGGCTCTTTCATGGATAGGTTCGATCCCCAACTGGTCTATCTCCGTCGGGGATGGAACCTATACTGAGGCAAGAAACATTTTCAGACTACCTCTACGGACCTAATTGCCATGCGTAAAACCACAACCAATCAGAGGACGAGGAAATCCAAGTGCGAGCTTTCGTTTACGATTCAATCACATGTCTCATTAATATTTAGACATCTTTATACACCAAGACATGTAAAACAAATCGTATTTTAATAGAAAAGTTTTATTAAGTTGTGAATTTAAGGTCTAGTTTAATCTATCGATTAAGGAAAGGTCATTTGATATGAAAGAAGTTGGTTGCAGTACGAGCATTTCGAGCATGCGCAGTATAGCGTATGCACTTTTGACAATGTCATTCCGACGCCATATTTTTAGAAAAGGTACAGATAATTTATTGCGATGCGTTTTGTTCATGCTCTTATGAAATGCGAATCGAGAATAGTTTTTGAATTAAGAATCGCTATTTTATCTATCTAACTATGTGTGTAGTTATTAAATATTTGATTTTAATTGTTTAAAAGAAAAATCTATAGTATTATAATTATTTTATCGTTGCGATGTTTGTTATAGGTAGCAGTCACGTCAAAGGGTGAATGACCCCGATCAATCTAAGACTGAACTGAGTATCTAGGTACAGTGATACTTACGTATGTTAGGGACAGAGTTACTTTACGAGAATTCGGGAAAATGCTCATGCTGCTACATGCGTAGTGTGTATATGCGTATATGCGCAATATCTAAATATGTACATATGTTTTAGCCTAAAGAGTGATACCGTGTACGCTTTATAACTAAATATCTAGTTTGTTTGACTGTGATTGCATTTCTCTTTAAGGGTTGTTGTTATTATTGTTTATTTTGAAAAATCTGGAAAATTATGTAATGTTTTAAAATTTAGAACGACTGTTTATGAAATATAGTTGATATTTCTACAAGATAGACATCATATCGTAAAGGTACGAGTAATCTTGTCGTTTGAAAAATTAGTTACTATATGTATAGGCATTGCGTGTAGGAACAGGTTCGCAGTAATTCCAAACACAACTGTCGAAAAGTATGAGCAAACATACTAGAGATAAATATAATAATTAAAGATTTGACTATTCATCGACGAAGAAGTCGTTTTATTACGATCTTTGTTGTATTTCGGATCATCATAAATTTTCTAGGCCAATGTCCGAACATAAAACAAGCAAATGAGAAAAAGTCAATAATGGGTGACTCACATACGAAGAGTGATGGTATCAACTACAAAAAATATTCATAGCATTATGATCTCAACATTCATATAAACTACAATTCTCAGATCATAAAAACCTCACCATGACCGACTTTAGAACAAAATGAACTATGATTTTTGTAAACATTGAACTGCATCTTATTTATACACTGAAAAAATAAGGGCAGTGGCGCAAGCCTATGAAGTACGTACCATTTAAAAACAACGTTTGTTTTCGATTTTGTAATGTTTAAATAAAATACGTTTAGTTAATACGTACCAGAGTGTGATTTGAAGATTACGATAGTGTAATTGTGAGCGAAAACGTATTTGTTTATGTGTTGGTAATCACAATACTAACGATTGGTCTTATTTTCTGTAACTATCCATGAGTTACTACATGTATAGTATACCAAAGACTAAAACAAAACCATTTTTGTTATAGTTTAGTTTTAATCTTGGGTATATACAGTAGCTAAATCAAATAAAAAATCTTTAAATGGACGCTTCCGACACGAAACCTACTCAATCAAGTTCTTAAAATGCATAAGTATCTACATTTCACTTTTGTTTTTCTCATCATCAATACCATTTAAAAAGTTTTCACCATCCAGCACATTTTGTTCAAAGAAATAAAGAGTATGCTCAATCGCATTTTAATGGAATTGTTGAAAAAATTCTCAACTTGAACGGGTAGAAAGAAAACTGCAGTTACATTAGCACATACATAAGTACCTATCACTTTATTTCACAGGCGTATTCGACCCAGTTTCCACTCTATAAGTGTTTTAAAAAGTAAACTATAAACTGTATATCTATTGAATGAAGACTATAAAGTTTTTGTAGAATGAATCATAAAGATTGTTATGAATAAGTGTTGTATTCTTAAGCCTACTCTATTTTCTAGATCGAATTACCATGATCTTATTGATAATTTGACTCATTTTCTCAGATATCAATGCTTTAAAAAATGATGTAAGAGCCTCAGCTATTTTTATCCCTTATTATATTACAAAGTTCACGTATTATAATTAAGTTATATGACATCAAAGCAGCGCAGGGACGCTTCACGGGCGATGTGCTCAAAAACAAATAAAAAAGCAAGCTGCCTCTTTAATTTGCTCTCCTTCTCATTCACCTAGTTCCCGATAACTCAGGCTGATGGAAAATTCTATGTTAGCTTTAGTGATTGGCTTTAAAAACCATTAACGCTCGACATCCGATCGGGATTTGTATTGCAGTTTGCTGTGCTTTGCGATACCATAATTGTTTGTTACAAATAGAGTACATAGGTATTCCATTATTTTGATTGGCAATTTTGTTATTTGATAGATAGAAAACGTTGCGCTGTTTGTTTCTTTTGACTTTGTTCGCCTATGTTTCTATCATATCTTTGTCAATATCAGCCTAAGTAATAATTTCTACTCCTTGTCGACGTATGCAGTGTAATGTACTTATGAAGAAATAAAGTGTAATTGTTTGGCTTATTTGTAACACGATTACTTACCGATGGTACCCGGGAACCAAGCGCATAGAGGGTTGCGCTGCAAGTCTGTGCTGCTGTTACCCACTCTGATTTCCAGATCTTGAAGCGGCTGATGACCTGGTCAACATAGAATAGTTAGAAAATATTTGCATTAATAATTTTAAGAATGCAAATTTTATTAAGGCAAGTATTATTTTAAACAGTTATCATTTGCTGAACAACATGCAAGACAGGTTTAAACAATACTTATAAAAAAGCATGAACAATCAACGTAATGCCGAAAACATGTATATTTTACGTCGATTTCCTCGGTATTATTGTGTGTCATAACGGCAACTTTCACGCAAATCATCTATTAATTACAAATAACTGCATAGTTGAGTAAGTTATACAAAGCGTTTGGCTCCGTTACCTATGCCCGATGGGTAGACGGGGCGATGACCGCCCACAATTATTTATTAATCTTAAATGTTATTACTTCTGTAGTCCCCTGTGGCAATTGTGTGTACGGTCTGATTGTTTTAGTTCAGGTGATGTTGATTGAAAGGAAACCGTTTAGCCAGTATTTTCCCAAGCAACTTTATTTGAAATTGAATGAAATTCTCCGTATTAATAAAGATAAACTTCATTTTATAATATGTACACATAATTTCTTTCATCTAACATTACCTCTATAAGACGTTCTAATAACAAAATGGGATCTCTTAGAAGATTATGAAAACCACTTTATCCAAGCAAAAGGATGTGTGCATTGTGCACGACCTAACCTAATTCTATTTTGTTGTCACATACTAGTTCGTCCTATTTCCCGGTTATTTTGCTTCGGTAGACTCAACGACATTACTGAGATGAGATTTAGGTTCGACTTTTCAAGCTTGCTCTCTCTCAGCGTAGTGCTTCCTGACGTCTTGCTGAAGGCGTAATGCTTCTTTTTCGTAAATGAAGTGAAAATTGTGCACTCAATTTTGTCCGCGTTTTGTACTGAAAATAGGACAGAAACTAGTGATTTGGAATGCCACTTATTAATGTATTTTGATATACACGCAGGCTTTATAAATATATAGGTATGTCGGTGATAATGATAAATTAATTTCAATGCAATGGTTGCAGTATTCCCAAACTCATAAACGTGCTTTTTGTTCTATTGTTTCATTTCATATGTGTACATGTACTTTGTACTTTTTCCATAGTTTTACTAAATGCTATAAGGGTCATTTTTGTGAAGCGGTTTCTAAACGGAGGTAAGTAGGAATGCAATATAAATATTGAGGTGTTGGCGATTTACACTTATTGGTACCGTGTGGAGGGACACGATCAATATATTTGTACAGAATAGTTCTTGCTGACTGTTGCATTATTAACAGGTAAGTGGGTTAGGAGATCAGTGCTATATTAAGGTACACCTTGCTCGCCGAAGTTCTATAGGTATGAGTATTTGTTTAAGACATTTCGAAATGATTCAGTACCTATTAAGGAGGCGTTAATCCGTCCTTAACAGCTTAAAGTAAAGTATAATTTGATGACAAGATGGAACATGTTCTTTTGGGCACATTCCATCATGCCTTCTTAAAGAAGATTACAATATTCTTTTAGAATGCGGTACATCGTATTATTATTAGTCTCTGGTCAAGTTTTACTTGAATTAGTCCTATATATTTGAATGGTTATAATGCTTATATGTGTCTTTACTTACCACAACATCCTCTAGTGGTGACTCTGACTACTTTGACGGCGTAATGCCTGAGTAGGTCCACCTGCCACCAGGGCGAGGCTTCCCTCTGTGTCTCCGTGCACCTCTTGCCATCATGTTCTGTGGTCTTCTCACCGTCATTACCGTTGGCTGCAGCACCTCCCCGAACTGTGGTGGACTGGTTTGCTGGTTTCCTGAACGCAACGTTTGTACCTAGAATGAAAGGTAATTAGAATCTTCTGCTATTTAAGATATGGTTCGATTTGAAATACAAGACAATACAAGTGTTGTAGTTCTATGCTTTTGTTATCCTTTTTTAGATTTACAACATATTTGCAGTTATAATCATACTAGTTTTTAAGTCATTATCTAATGTTAGTAGTTTCTATATAGCTTTATAAGAAACCCGATTATTTTCCGAGATAAGCAGGCGATACTTTACAACCTCGAAACAATAGAGTCATTAACTCAAAGACATATTAAACACGATAATTAGTTTTATAATACTATTGATGAGCTGTTCTAGAGATCACGAAGATTGGAGAAATTTTTCGTGCTCACAAATTTTATTGATAATAATAATACGCCATCTCCAAAAGTATCTACTTTGATTCTCTTAAAACAAGAAAATCGAAATAAAACAAATCGTTTTAGTACTTTAATTAAAACTGTTTCTTACCGCAGAATGGTGCTTCAGCGGTCCAGTCGCCCCTGAGGGTGCATTCTCTCTGATGGGCCCCGAACAGTTCATAACCCTCATCACACTCATAGGTCGCGATGGTACCAGGCACTATGTCTCCTGATGGAATGAATACTCTGGCGTTCGGGGGTACAGCTGGATGTCCGCATCGGCGATCACCTGGAAAGAAGAATTAGTTTAGTATGACATGAAGGAGGCTCATAGGTTAGGTAAACAATATGCGGTCTCTATTTTATATCTGAAGGTAGTGATTTCTTCCTATGTCCTGGCTGTGTTTTCAAAAAATAAATTGTGACCTGTGGTCCACTGGTGGAAAACCCAGAAAGACAATTTATGGATGACAATATTGGGGGTTTGCGTTCTTGTTTATAATGTCCACGACAATATTGTAGTCGCTGTTCTAATCACTATACTGGGTGTGCAGTGAGTATACATTTTAAAATATTTCTGTTTTGTGTATTTTCAACGAACATATTTATTAAGAAACTTCATTATTTCACCATGAAACACTCCGTTCCTTAAATTAGAGACGAAAAGGATTTAATTTAAATTTGTTTCTCTATAGGAAACCATTTATTTTACACTGAATGAATAGAAAATTAAAATACAGCTGAAAATTTTTCGAAATGCGGTGCTGTCCAATGTCCATGGCTTCATGAATACCTATGAAATAGCATTATAAAGGACACCGCATTCATTTTTCCTTGAAAAGTGGATTTATTTGAATAAAAGGGGAGTAAGTACTCCTTTAATTTTGAAGTTGGTACCAGTAATTAAAATACTTCGTATTTTATTAAACGACATTTAAGAGGCGAAAATTTGGATGGATGTTTATTATTTAAGCATGGAGAAAGATTACAGTCTGAAAGTCTTTATCATTAGTATTATCAGTAAACAGTGCCGTATAAAACAGATGCACTATTTTATCTCTGTCGCAGAAGTGTAATGTTTAAGTCTGTCTGCGAAAGAGAGGTTTGTTCGTGTACTCGTGTAGTATGCTAGATAATTGAAAAAACGATGTGACTTCTAATTACTTGAACTAGTTTCCACAACTCAACACGTAATCGATCAAAACGCATAGAAAACAATGTCATAACATTAAATTCCCGTGTCATTATCATAACACATAGTTAATTACTTCATAGTACGAAACAAAAAGACTAATTCATCAAGTAGAGACTTCTTTAAGGTTACTTACCATTCAAGGGTCATGTAACGACCTATCAGAAGGCCTCACTACCACAGTTCCGTTACTAACACGAGGCCAGACTAACGTAACAAGCATTAAATTTCATACAATTTTTATACAACAATACATTTTAAATTCTATTCCGCAAACCTAAAGTCTAGATTGAAACACTACGGACGGAACTAGAGAATATCTTACAAAATACTCTAATGCCATGCAAAAAGAAACGCGGAAGCTACAATCACGTACTCCATACATCCTACATTTTTACAATTTAGACTAGTTGTATTGTATCGCAACACGCGTGGTGCATCGCTGGTAATGTTCCAGGTAATTGGAACAGATGACCTGTTAGAGTGGCAATGTAACGCGATGTTACCGTAACGGCGTCACGGATGCGAATGTTAGGTAATAGGCACGGTCTGAATGCAATATTGATACGTACTGGAGAAAAACTGTATGCAATGTAATCAGTTGATCCTGATAAGGAAGTTGAAAGAACTAATTGACAGGGAGTGATGTTATATACGGTCGGTAGGTACTTATTGCAGTTTCTTATACTTATAGTTACGTAGAAGTGTTAACGCGAACGTGTATCTATGATAATACTATAGGTATAACTGTTATAAATACGAAAATAATTGTAAATCTTTGAGGAAATGTCGTATGTTTTTGTTTTAGTTCCATGTACTGTCCATGGCGCCGACGTATCATTGGTGAATGCGTGCATCCTATAAACGACAAGAGACAGACTACAAAAAACAAATGCTTGAATTTTAGAACCACAGAAATCATGAAAACTCTCCCCGACGACGGTAGCGACAAATGCACCTCACGTTTGACCACAGAAATATCACATTCGTCATATGACGTGTCGAGGACAATATGCCTAATTCACTACTCTTTTTCACTACATAGTATAAAACAAAGTCGCTATCCGCCGTCTGTCTGTCCCTATGTATGCTTACATCTTTAAAACTACGCAACAGATGTTGATGCGGTTTTTTTAATAGATAGAGTGATTCAGAAGGTTTATATGTATAATACATGCATATTGCACCCGTGCGAAGTCGAGGCGGGTCGCTAGTATTAGATATAATCGGAAAACAAGCAGTTTTCGTATCAGTATCACCTTACGATAGGCGCCGCCCATGGACACCGCAACACCAAGTTGAAAGTACAAAACATACATAAATACATGGGGAAAGTGTTACATTGATTTGTCAACAAAAGCTACGAATAAAACTTTTTTCTTTATCACGATTGATGCTATAATGTTTCCAATGTTGTAATGTTATAGTTCGTGTCTAATAAATGTATTATTTGTTAATATTACATCAGACTGAAGATTTCTCAATGGACAGAATCAATCAATCAATGCGATCATTACCTACTTTGTTAGCTTAAAACGTAGTAAAATTTTATTTTATTTTCTAACCCAATCGATGAATCTACCTATTCGAAATCAATATATGTAGTTAAACAGTTTAAATTTAAGAACATACTTGAAATCATTCGCATGTCTAAATTCAGTATTTGCGTAATAGGGATGATGACAGGGTATGATAATTAAACATTTAATTAGTCCGTCTGTTAGGTAATGAAAAAATATTAGACACGTATTTTTTATTTTGTCGTATAAGAAAACAAAACTTGGATAAAAAAATTCAAAAGTTTAGTAGTTGGAAGTAGCTACGTCATTTTAGACTCTAAAAAGACGACAATAGTGTCGTCTTGCGATATTTCATACATCCGATGATACAATAGCAAAAAGACACAGAATATCCGTAAAAAGGCCGACTCGATTTCGGTTAAAATTTATATTATGCTTTATATTATGACGTGTGTAATAATTACGTCATTGAAAATTATATTAAATTTTCTGATTCTGGTCTTTAAAGGACTTCACTGGAACTGCTCCAACGCAAAATTATATTCCTTTTACATTCATTTGTATAAATAAATTAACAAAATAAATTAATAACCTGATGAAATTTAAATGTGATTAATTTGTTTAAGATACAACTTTTCAGTTACACTATCTTAGTGAAAATTTATTAGCTAGACACATCATAGTCTGAACTTATTCCTACAAAAAAGACCAAACAGATCCAAATCGACTATGAGTAAAACATTAAACATGACCCGGGAATCGCATTGAGAAATCCTACTTGTGACCACTACGGCAACGTTTACTCCGCAAAAGCACGATCTATCTATCTTCATCTTGAATCTCACGCTTCACTAAACTTCACAGCCGAGGTCATTCAACAAATAAAAGAAACACGTACACGTACAGCATGTACTTACCAAACACACAAGTCAGACATAGTATCTATTACTAAATACCATTCGCTAAAAACATCCTCAATTTCAATGCAAATATTTTGACTGAGAAATCTGAGAATCAATTAAATGCACGTCAGGCAAGACGTTTATAACTCCAATCGGCACGTGTTTCGAAACCTTTGCATAATCTGGACTTCAATTTTCCAAATGTCAATCCTATAAACCAACAAAAAAAGGGTTCCAATTATGCATCTAGACAGACCTGGAATGGAGAGGTGATTGGATGTGGCCGTAATGAAGTCTGTCAAGTAGTGCATGGATTTGACTTATAAGAGCTTTCCCAGTGCAACGTTTCCTTTTTGATTTGGACAAATAGATTACACTGTACTGCCAGCACGTCAACTTCCTCCAATTAGTGTTTCTTTAAAAGAAATACAACTGTATTGTAACACAGTAGAGTCGAAAATGTCATTAAGTCTGGTATAACTTGATCTGCTTGCGTATAATTGTGTGATCGCGTTCGAGCGGCACCGTTGAGGTGTAATGAAAGAACCGCTTGATTGGTGTCGCACATCGTTACCTGATTTCTGTTCTACACCTTACTTTTTTGTGTTCAGTAAAATTGATTTTACTTAGCTTTCAATAATAGTATAATAAAAATAATTTAATAATTTTCCGTGGCGTTGGCGACTGGGCTTTCCCCCAGTCGCGCAGAGTCTTTTGTACCTTTAAGCTTAAGTCATTCGGTCTCCTGTACTAAATTCACTTAGAGTCCACTTCCATTGGTGAATTAAGTGCAACTATAGTATTATTTTTCTTCTTTTTTAATATGTTCTGTTTTATTGCGTTGCAGGATCCTAGACAGTTTGTCATGTCTGTGGGCCTTCAGTGTTGCGGTGTTTTCATGGTTGTTTCTACTGTAGATGCTGGCTTACGGGAGTTGCAGCGGTTTTAAGAGGCTTTGACGGGCTTGTCCCAATAAGCTTTCAATAAGGCATTGATAGAATCGTTAAACAGAATTTCTAGAAACTAATTATTAGAAAATATAAATACAAATATCTACGTTTCTCTTGCTTATGTTACTACAAAATCGTATCAAATGTAATTGATAATAATAAATATAACATACAACAGGACTACGTTTTCAATTCGCAAATACAAATGTATTTGCGAAATATACGGTTCATCAGAGCATGTGAAGCTGTGGACAGATAGGACGTTCAATATTCTAATATATTCAACTGCTGCACGTCGCTCTGTGTACTTACATAGCAATCAAATATTTGTGCCTCGATGCCAGCGCCTGACGTTCTATTAAATCCCTTGTACCTTGTTCAATCCTTACTTCCTTACTTATATTATAAATCGGAAAGTAAGTTTGTTTGTTTGTTTGTTTGTTTGTTCCGCTTTCACGCCGTAACTACTAAACCGATTGCTTTGAATTTTTACAGACGTAAAGTTAGAAGTCCGGATTAAATAATAGGGTAATTTTTATCCCGGAAAAATGTGATACTACCGAGGAAAACAAAAGTACTGGTATAGATGGCGCTGTATGTATTGGTATATGTCACATAGGCTACTTTTTATCCTTTTGTGACGCGAGCGAAGCCGCGGGTAAAAGCTAGTATATTATAAATATGAGTTAGTTTAAAAGTAATCAAGAACTAGTTTAACGTAGAAGGGGTAAACAACAATGCTATATGAAGCATCAGCCTTAATTACTGCTAATATTAGTTAATTATCATCATGATTGCCTCGTTGGTCGAGTGGTCGTAAGTGCGACTGCCAAGCAAGAGGTTTCGGGTTCGATTCCCGGATCGTGCTAAGTATTACTGGGTTTTTTAACTCGTCGAGTACCGGTTTTATAGACACAATTAAAGAACAATAGGTCGCGGTCACCTGCGACTGCTTGGTGTTTGACAGTTTAAAGAAATCTCATATATATGTATATGGCAATAGGTTTACCCCCTATTACATGGGACTCATAACATAGTGAAAAACACGTAACACCCACGTTACATTGTACAGTGGCATTAAGCTAATGCCTCTGCCTACCTAACATAAAAAGGCGTGATGTTATGTTATGTTATTATTAAGGCAAACTGGACATGTGTCTAAATATTACGTGGGGATGGTCGTGCTCATAGTTGGCTTACGATAATCTTCGATCATAGACCACTCGCTTAATGCACCTGGGTGTCCAACAGACACTTTTTTAAACTGTCAAACACCAAGCGGTCACCGGTGACCGCGACCTATTGTTCTTTAATTGTGTCTATAAAACCGGTACTCGACGAGTTAAATACGGTTTCACTTTTGTTTTTTTTTTTTAAATTTAACTTTGCATTATATTGTTCTTCTGACTCTGACTGAGCAAAAATTTTCTTGTAATCGTCAAGAATACTTTTCACTAGTCAAATGACTAAGTAGCTTGCATTGAACGTCATATCACGATTTGATTGAAACCACGCTAAACCTTGTACAGGTGCTATTATGAGGAGAGTGCGGGTGAGCTTGGCTCGCCTGCAGTAGCAGGAGAAGGGAGCCCAAGTGGCTCCGGGACTCGTGGTGAGGCGCTGGACTCGTCCAGCAGGCCCCACACACGGGAGTCCAGTAGGAGGGGGTCGGACTCTGAGTTCGACACAACATTAGCGGAGCGGCTGAGCGTGAGCTCGAAAGGCTCACGCCGCCGCGCGACGGGGACGTTCAAACGCCCCCGGCTGGAGGAGGACAGTTTGTCCCCGTCCTCCGGCGCTCGGGAGGCGCCTCCCCCCAAGGTCCCCACGGCAGCGCGGGGTAGGGGCGGCAAGGGCAGCGGTCGCCGGAAACCGGCACCAGCTGCCTGCGCGGAGTCAGCCGAGCAACTGGCTGCGGAGGGCAGGGCTCTTTCGAGCACTGCCCGTTCGGAGTCCTCTGCGGCCGAGATGTCCGGCGTGGAGATGTCGGAGGGCGAGCGCGGCTCTGAGAGCGAGAGCTGCTCCGGGGGCCTCGAACAGGCCATTACGGCGGAGCTCTACAAGCTGGCGCTGGGGAAATCCCAGCCGGTTAGGCTCCGCCTCCTCAAGGCGGCGGCGGCCACCATTACGGAGGCGGCCTTGGAGCAACGTGCGGTGCCCGCTGCGGGAAACGTGCGCTCTGAGCTGGCCGAGATGCGGCGAGAGCTGGCGCGCTTGGCGGCCTCTAACGCGGCTCTGGAGGCCGAGCTGCGGACGGCCAGGGCCGAGCTCGCCGCTGCTCGCGGCAGTCGCCCCCAGCCCCCGGCGGAGGCCGACGTAGTCGGACTGCTGCGGGCGGAGATGGCTGCCTTCCAGCGACGTTTCGACGTGCTGGAGGGTAGGCTCTTGCGGCCCCCGCTCGCGACGAGTCAGGTCGCCCCCGCGGTCCCGCGGTCGTACGCGGCCGCTGCGGCCAAGCCTTCGACCTCGGGTCAGGCTAGCCGCAGCTCCCAACCGCCGGCAAAGGCGCGACCGGCTGCCCCAGCGAGGGCCTCGGCGCCCCCGCCGGCGCAGACCCCGGCTGCGCCGACGGCGCCTGCGCCTGCGCCCGCTGGGCGCAAAAAGAGGAGGGGCACTCCGGCCCGGCAGGCTGGGGTTGCGGCGGCGGCGGCGGAACCCGCCCCGCAAGCAGAGGATGGCGGCGGATGGCAAATCGCCGGCGAGGCGAGGAGAGTCGCCAAGGAGGGCCGGAAGCGCCGAAAAAAGGCGCAGCGGCAACGACGGCAGCAGCAGCGCAGGGAGAAACGCGCTGCTGCCCTGCTCCTCGCCCCTAAGACCGCGGCTGTGGTCATCACCCTACAGCCTGAAGCGGTCAATAGGGGCGTCACATATGGCGACGTCCTCGCCAAATTAAAGGGGGCGGTGACTCCTGCGGAGTTCGGGGCCCCGGACGGGTTCGCGGTCAAGGTGACCGCTACCGGAGCCCGTCTTTTGGAGGTCCCCGGCGCGACCAGCGGCCCATCGGCCGACGCCCTGGCCGAGAGGCTTAGGGCGTGCCTCGGTGCGGACGAGGCCCGCGTGTCCAGGCCCACCAAATGCCTGGATGTCAGGATTTTGGGCCTGGACGACTCCGTCACGGAGAGTGAGGTGGTGGCCGCTGTGGCCAGGACGGGAGGGTGCCCTGCTGACCAGGTCAGGGTGGGCACCATACGTCCGGACAACTCGGGGCTGCGCACGGTGGTGGTGAGCTGCCCCGTCACAGCGGCCAAAACATTAAAGGAGGGCAAAAGGCTCTTAGTGGGATGGGTCTCGGCGCAGGTCAAGCTGCTCGAGACCCGGCCTCTGAGGTGCTACCGCTGTCACGTGGGGGAGCACGTGAGTGTCAAATGCACCTCGGAGGTGGACCGCAGCGACTGTTGCTTCCGCTGCGGTCGGCCCGGTCACAAGGCCGGCTCGTGCAACGCCCCGCTGCACTGCAACGCATGTGCAGCGGCTGGCAAGCCGGCCAATCACCGGGTCGGGAGCAAGGGCTGCTCCCCTCCTGCTAAAAAGGGCAAAGGTAGGCCCTCCGCCGCCCCTGCCGTTTCCGCCGCCGCCGCCGCCACTGCCACCGCAGTCGCCGCTGCCGCCACTGAGGAGGTCGGAATGGACTGTCAATAGTGGCTCCATTCCGCCTCCTCCAGGCGAACATCAACCACTGCGCCGCTGCTCAGGATCTCCTGCTCCAGAGCATGGCGCAGTGGTCGATCAATGTCGCCGTGGTCTCCGAGCCGTATTTTGTCCTGCCCAGGGATCACTGGGTGGCGGACCTGGACGGCTCGGTGACCATCATCTCGTCGGCCGCCGCCGGTACCCCGACTCTTGAGGCTGCTCAAAGAGGCCGGGGTTGTGTCGCAGCACGGTTCGGAGAGCTCGCTGTGGTGGGCGTGTACTTCTCTCCGAACCGAACTCTCGCCGAGTTCCACAACTCCTTGAGGGAGTTGGTCACTGTCGTCGTCGGGTTCCGTTCCCTCCCCGTGCTCGTCCTCGGGGACTTCAACGCCAAAAACTTGGCTTGGGGTTCCCGGTTCACCGACGTCCGGGGTAGGATGGTGGAAGACTGGGCCCTTGAGACAGGCCTAGTCGTCCTGAACCGGGGTTCTGTCCCCACGTGTGTGCGGATGCAGGGCGAGTCGGTGGTGGACATATCGTTCGCCAGCCCTGCTCTGTCACCGCGTATTGTTGGCTGGCGCGTCATGGAGGAGGTGGAGACGTACTCCGACCACCGGTATATCCGGTTCGACGTCTCCGCCGAGTCCGCAGACCCGCCGGTCAGACAGGCCCCATGTGGCCCGCGTTGGGCGCTGAAACAGCTGGACCGGGAGCTGCTCCTGGAAGCCGCC